TATATATATATTAAAATGATAGTTATCGCCTTTTGGAGCGCCTTCATTACATCGGTCTCACGCTGATAATGAGAAAGGTGAATCATATATGCATCCATTGGTAGAGAGGCAGTGTCGTGCTCGAACCTGAGATCTCACGCATATGAATTACACACATTTACAGTTTAAGACAAATCAGTAGGGATCTTTAGTATGTCGTTATGGGCTTCACGAGCATTAGAAACTGTATCAAAATTGATGTTCATATATCACGTCTCAAATTAGTCAATTTAAAATTTTCACACGTGTCATTAAACATAATAATAAAATAAAATATCAAAATCAAAATCAAAATCGTGGTGATTCGGAGTACGTCTTTGGATTTGTAAACGATTTTACAGATAGAAAGTCTAAAGTCCAGTATATATATATATATATATATATATATATATATATATATATATATTTAAAGCCAGATACTAACATAACTCTAAACTGGTATAACTGAAATCCAACATTTCTCAAAACAGGTTATCATCTGTACTCTTTCCTCACTCGCATACCGTCTCATTTCTCATCGTTTTCCTCACCCACATATCTCATATAGCAGAATGTATGAACAGAATACAGCTTTTTACAATACGGGTTTTTTCAAACAAAGGGGTAAAAATGTCTTTTTACAATGTAGACAAGAAATGCATGTGTACTAAAATGGTTGGATTAGAATCCCCCACTCATGTAGTTAAAAAAAAAAAGAAAAGTTAGGAATTAAAGTAAAAAAAACAATAATTGTAATAAGGGTTTCTTTAAACATTGAAAGGTACTTTGTAACCCTAATAATCTACAAGTGTCCCAAATTGTATGGTCATCACTCGATGACTTGGTCAATACTCTAAGGACTAGTAGCCTTTAAGTGAATCCCAAATGATTCATAGGATCATGGGTGTTTTCTTTTTATTTTTTTATTTTTTTTAATTTTACTGTTTTATTTATATGTCGACAAGGGGTAAAATAGAACAGATGGTTACTTAACCAAAGAGCCTTTGGTCTAGCGGTTTGTGAATCTTTGACTCCCTAGGATGTCAGGGGTTTAAACATCATCAAAAATGAGAAGGGTGTGTTAGTTTATTTGTTCTATTTACCATATATTTAATTTTCTTTTTATGCATGTGGTGAACACGTTGTAGATAATTCATGCTTTTGATTATTAGTGTTTCACGAATTTATGACGTTAATTTAAGATTGATTGTCCTAGGATATGCTATAGTATTGTATTATCAGTATAAGGGGTTGTTTTATGCAGAATGATTAAGTGGTCAGGATGATTAAGTGTCTCTCATGATATAATGCAAAATGAAATATAATTGTTTACAATGAAATTAAGACGTTGATTGGTTAAGGGAGATCCAAGATACAAAATCCTTCAGAGGGTTTTTAGAACCATTACGAGACAGATTTTTTTTTTTGTCAAGGAAGATTCACCTCTTAACGATTCAAAAAATGTCTTTTAATGAAACTATTAAGAGGTAATCAAAGAACTCCTAAGTCATTTTTAACGTTATTGTTTTGAATCTTGTCTAATTAGGGGCATTTGGGCAGATAACATTTTGGATATTACATCGAGGTAGCGACATCAAGAAAATTATAAAAGCTGTGAAATGTATAAAAAGAAAATGGCGATCGCGTAATATATTTGTGAATTTTATATTAAAATTCTCAAATAACTGTAATAACTACTAAAAGTTTTATAAATAACAGATCATACAAAGAGTCCTAGACTCTGTCACTATCGTATTTAACACTAGGTGGTCCTAGCAGGGAAATCCAATGTCAGTTGTGTTTCTATTTTTTCATTATATATGTTTGTGATTTTGGTATCATACCAGTATAATCTTGCACCACCTGATATTATTGATAGCTAATTAAATTGATATACAAGTTTTGATAGTTGATATTAGTAGTCAGGGCCCGAGCGTCCTCAACTGGTCGTGTATTGCTATTACCAATGAAAAATAAAATGAAGATTCTATACGAGGATTCGAACTCAAAACCTTAAGGATGACCAAACACGCTACTAATTATAATTTGTAAGATATTTGATGCAGAATGATTAATATACTCTCATGATATAGTGCAAAATAAGATATAATTGTTTGGTAATTGTTTATATTGAAATTAGGCGTTGAATGGTTAAAGGAGACTCGTGATGCAAAATCATTCATAGGATTTTAGAACCATTAAAAAACAGATTTTTTTTGTCAAACGAGATTCATTTATTAATGATTCAAAGATTACCTCATAATGAAACTATTAAGAGGTAAACAAACAACTCATTAAATGATAGAATGAGAAGTAAGCTCTTACTTTTTGGAGCAAAAACTTATTTTAGAGTAAATTACAAATTTGTTCCTTGTAGTTTGTCAAAAATAACATTTTTTATCTTTGTAGTTTTGAAATTGCAAACTGATCAACGTGGTTTGCAAAAGTGTTTGGATTTGGTCCATCACTCTAACGAATATTAAAAACATTCGTTAAATGAAGGGCATTTTTCTTCTTTTTGTCGATTTTTTTGTCTTTCTTTCAATCAAAAACCATAAGAACCAAAATCATGGAATCAATTTTGATAGAGTAAAAGACAAAAACTTGATAAAATGACGAAAATTTCTTACATTTAACGGAAGTTTTTAACAATTATTAAAGGTAGGGACGAAATCTGGACGTTCTTACAAACCACGATGACCATATTGTAAATTCAAATTTGCAGAGAGATCACACATCTATCTAAAGAACACATACGTTTATCTTCAAACAAGTTAGAATCTCTCTTAAGAATTCTAAAAGTTCTTACCCAAGAAGAACATCTTTATATCATTATCTTTTTGGCAAATCTTTTCTATTTGCTAAGTATATTTGTGTGTAATCTTAGATTGTTTTAGATATGTTATCTTTACATTTTCTATTTCCGCAAACAATCTGCAAAAAAATCTGTATTGATCCTTCTATTTTTAAATACGAAAGTTTTCTGTATGTGTATTCATCTCCCCCTTCTACAAACTGTTCCTTTAAAACTCTTATAGACCCGACTGGGACCAACAACTGGTAACGAAAAGTGTTATATCAAACCACATGGACCAAATTTATAGTTAATCTTTATTTTTTTTAGACAAAATAAAATAAAAATGTAAGCACTTAAAGAATGGTTTAAAATCTATTGCTCTTTATCATATTGCAAATCAATTATTGTTAAATACGTAAAATTAAAAATGGTTCAAAAACTGTTATGTTAAATCTAATTGCTATAATTTTGTTAAATGTAGAACTTGAACAAGTAATGTTATACTTATTTGGATTAATATGAAATGTTGTGTTGAACGAGTAATATTAAACATGCAGATTATTTTTTGCAAAATAATTTTTATAAATATTTATTAAATAACTATATTTCATTCGTTATTAAATTATACAAAAAGTTAAAATAGTAATTTGTTATCATTCAAACCGTTCATTCAGAACAGTTACCGGACAATCCTGTTTCATTTCTAAATAAATATAACTTTCTATGTGGTTTGATCTGTCTGTAAAGATTGAGAAAGTTTTTGTTTGAACATGTTTAAAAAAAACTTGACTTTCTTTATAAAGTTCCTCTTAAGAGCTTATTGGATAAGTCATTCTCTATATCATTAAATGACTATCAAAACAGGCATGTACAATTGACTGAATATGTTGTGTCTCATTAAGCTGCTAAGAAACATATCTATAAACCTCTCTATCATGCTGGCTATTTACTTATATATACTATATTATAAAGCATTTGACAGAAATTCTTAAAAACCATTTTTTATACACAAAGTACTGTTTATTGATGCATATTACTTAAAATTCAAAATTACAAATAAATAATGTATAAATACAACTTATTAAAGCTCCGAGTTTGAATTCATATAACTAACTGCAGATAAACATAATCAAATACTAGATAAATATTCCATATTAAATATAAAAAATCTAAAATATAATTAGGATAATAAGTGTGTTATAACAGAATACTTAATTATTATATTTATAAAAAATTATTTTGTTATGAAACCTAAATTAAATTATAATATAAAAAATTGAATTAAAGAAATTACACAACAAAACAAAAGCTTTTAAATAGTTAATTTGACACTAATATTGATATTTTTAAATTTTAAGATATCTGTAAATTCATATTTTATTTAAAAATAAAAACATTATCGTTTTTCTCAAAATCACATTAAACAATATTATAACATCGACATGAGACAAAATAAAACGAAATATTAAAATCAAAATGTATTTCGCTGCATTATACGAGTATCCTTCTAATTTTACATTAAAACATTCGACAACTATCAAACAGACTAGAACGAAAGCGGTAGAAAAAATGGTCACGTTTAGAAACGTTATCTAATATGATAATAACGGGTTGGCCACGTTAAGCTTGTAAGCCGACCCCATATGACCTTCACTTTAGGGGGAAAAATCAAAACCCCCAATTGGTCCCAATCCCCAATTTCTCAATTTCACAAATTTCTTCACAATATAAATTCATCCTTCATTCATACCAATGTCATCCGATTCACAATTTCCCCCACCGTTATGGAGAATCATCGCCGGCAGAAAGCACATTCCACCGGAGATATGTTCACTTTTCCCGCCATTTCACAAGACATTGACTTCGATTCGGAGTTAGCCGATCAATTGTTCTCCAATGGCAAGTTCCTCCTTCACGCTTTTCCTGTTCAGCCAGCGAGTTTCTCAATTCCGAGATCCACGATTTTGAGCAGAACCAGTAGTATCAGCAGCAAAGGATCGTTGATGTCTTCTCGAAGTAATAGCACAAACAGTCGCAGCAGTAGCAGTAATAGTAGTTGCAGCAGCGCGAGAACAAGCACTAGCGAAGGTTCGTATCGGAGGAAGTTATCGTCGATCAATCAAGCCAGATCTGTTGAAATCAAAACGAAGAGCAACACGAGCGGTAGATTTCCGAAAAAGGAAGGTCAAAATCGACAGTATTGTAACAGTTATGGCCGTTCTCAGAGATGGCAGTTTATTGCGCCGGTTCCGGTGTTGAATCGCCGGAACTCTTTGAAGAAAAGGAAGGGAGGTAACGGGAAGCAAGACTGTGGTGTTAGAAAAGGGATTTGCCGGAGGTTTTTGGGGTGGCTTGTGTCGACATGCCAAGAGTGCCATGCGATTGAACCTTCAAAGAGATTGAAAGTGAGTATGTGATTACGATAATTTCTTATTATTGCTTGATTCTCTCTTTTGATAATTCATGGTTTGATTCTGTGATTCATGTCGTTTCTTTTCTTCGTCTAAATTTGGGTTTTGAGTTTGATTATTGCAATGGAATTATTCAACCTGCATCCAAGTAATTCATGGTGTGTTCATCATCATCATCAAATTATTCAAATAACATCTCCATTAAATTGTTTATAATTTCCTTAAAACATACAAAGCAAATAACAAAATTTAAATTCAACTCCAACAACTTATTTATTTTAGAATTTCGGTGCTAAACGCATAGAAATTAATGTGATTATAAAAACAACTTATTGACTTATTCCGGTGTGGTACCAGTAACAAAAATACTTTTGAGTGTTTGAATAAACAGCTTATACCGGTACCAAACCGGTAATAATGAGTTTTAAAAAAAGTTAAACAATTCTAACTTATAATAAGTTAATAAAAACTTTTGTAGAAAAGTATAAATTGTTTCAAATAAGCAATCCCAAACACCCCCTAAGTACTAAGTGAGGAGTGGGCTCCTGTGCACCCACTCATTCGATTATTACAAAAGATGAGAAGATTGACGTATGAAAGATGCACCCACTTGATTTTTTAGACGTGCACTTGAATACTTTTAAACAAAAAAAAAAAATATATATATATATATATATATATATAATAGAAATAGAAAAAATGGTGGGGATGGTTGGATTAGCCGTCTACATGCACGAGGCGATAGTTCAAATCTTATTTCAAGTAAAAGTTTAATTGTAGGCTACAATGTTCAAGCCCTGTCGATTTTCCCTTTAGGTCAAACAACACTTTTGCAGAACAACTTAAAGGTGCATTCGTTCAGAGAAATTTTTAGGTCCGCTACTGTTTGATGACATTAAGAAATGTATATATATATATATGTATAGGCGAAGGATCGTGTGCGAAAGAGAGTTAAAATGAGAAGCGTAAGAAATGATCTAGACCCTTGATCACTTTTAATCTCACACCTACCAATGAATCGTGTTTGATAAGGATTGATCAGATGCATCTCGGTGCATCTCATCTTAATATGCATCCAATGCATACCTTCTTACGTTTCTCATATTCACCTTCCTTCTTACCAAAACCCAATTCTATGTATGTGTGTGTATATATGTATATATATATATATATATATCTTATTTTTAAATAAATAATAATAATAAATAACATGATGTACATATGTATATAATTAAATAATATAGCTATTAAATAACTCTATTCTATCACCACCAACTTCTATATTTTTCCCCCTATTTTTTATATATTTTTTATATTCTCCTTGCTATAAAAAACAATAAAAAATACACTAAAATTCAACTTTTTTTATTTTCACTTTTAGCCTATTAATATTTTTAACTTTAATCCTTTAACTTTTTTAATATTTCACAAAATACACTAAACCCAAACACTTTTTATTTTTCAGTTTTAATTCTTTGATATATTTTACTTTAATCCTTCAACTTTTTTAATATATCACAAAATACACTAAAATAAAACAATTTTACTTTTCAGTTTTAATTCTTTGATATATTTTACTTTAATCCTTCAACTTTTTTAATATTTCCATATTATATCATTTATGTTTTTATTTTTTTAATCTATATTATAATTATATAAGTTAATTAACTTTATATTATTATTGGTTAATAAAGTATTAAGAATACATACATAGGCATAAAGAAAAAGCAATAGGCCGGACCAGCTTACAAAAACGAAACGGCCAAACCTTCCCGTTGATGTGAGCTCTTGGGGAAGATCTAGGTATCTGGTTCACTGTGTTAGGTATCAACATTATTTTTTAATTATTTATTTGTATACAAATATATTACGATAAATTTATAATTTTTAATCTATATTATAAGTATATAAATTAATTAATTTTATATTAATAACGATGAATTATAATGTTTTAAAGACTTTGATTATTTATATAAAATTAATTATATTTTTTTACGTTAAATCAACATATCCACGAGTATAAGTGCGTTCTATATGTTCTTAGTACACATTTAGTCTACGTTGAAGTCGACAACGTGTCCGATGGTGCATAAGTGTAGACATTGGGTATTTCTCTAGTTAATACCACCTTTATGTACTTCACTTACTTTATCATTTTATGTTTTATAACCTTATTATATTTATATCATTATGAACACATAATTAAATCAAAAAATATTCAATATTGAGTTCATCCCGCAGATATTAACGAGACGATTATAATGGTATAACTTGTTAAAATTAAAAAGTAATTTTTAACGTATTTTAGTTGATATACAATTATATATGTCAATGTGACAAGGGATGTACTATAAATTAAATAATTAATTACAATGGTGTAAAGTATAAGTATTAAAAATGTTTTTTTATAGTGTATCTGATATAATAATATAACTAAATAAAAAAATATTCAATATTCGGTTCATTTCGAAAGTATTGACGAGACGATTATAATGGTGTAACTTGTTAAAATTAAAATGTATTTTTTGCAACCTATTTTAGTTAATATACGATTATGTATGGTATCATATTTTTTTTGTTTTATGCAATATACCAACCAAAGGTGAGAATAAAGATGCACAAAAAACCTCAAACTCGAGTCGAGACTAGGCCCGGCCCAACTACCCGATCACTCCAACTTTTTTTCAAGCCCAGTCCAAAAGTATTAATTCGGACCCTCTTTCAACCCCAAAGATTGGCATATTTTTTACTCCGTTGAAAATCAGGCTTGAAGGTCTCGAACCGGCCCGAAAAAGCCTAGACCTTGTGCATCTATAGGTGAGAAATAAGAGTAGTGATGGCCAAACCGGCCCGGCCTAACCCGGGATCGCCGGTGGACCGGGACCGGTTATTGGACCGAAAACCAGGACAGGTTGGGGTTTTTGGTAGTTTTGTGGGACCGGGACCGGTTATTGGACCGAAAACCAGGACAGGTTGGGGTTTTTGGTAGTTTTGTGGGACCGGGACCGGCTATGGATTGACCCGAAAATTCAAATAATTTTATAAATAAATGTATTTTTAAATAATTTTATAATGTATTTTTATCTTACTTTTTTGTGCCGGGACCGGGACCGGCGGCCTATAACCGGTTATGAAGTACCTTGACCAGTCCTACCATTCTCAACCGGGACCGGTTATAAGAAAGTTTGGGACCGGTTATAAGAAAGTTTGGGACCGATTAAGCCCGGCCCAGCCCGGGACCGATTTTTGGCAGAGAGTATATAAGTTATGACACTACATAAAGAAATTAAGAAACATAGATTATGTTAAGAAGTAGAAAGTGAACAACTCAGAAACTATGAAAATGCAAAGACATGCATACTATCTTTCTAATACATAAATACCCTTCATCTCATAATCACTCCAAGAAAGTTTCCATAACGTCGGAGTACATCGACGCCTCCGGATTCCGGTATTCTCCGTTCTGATTGTGTTTATGGTGATCAAGTGATGAAGATGATGATGAAGAAGTCGCCATTCTCTCCGGCAACGTGAAGCTCCTCTTATACTTGTTATGATCCACTTTCCCGACGCCATGATCCGAGTTTGTATTATCCAAGCTCAAGAAATCATTCGGGTTCTTCATTTCCGGGCTCGGGTGCCACCCCTCGGGCTTGTTCCCGAGCCCGTCGGAATTGAACAGGATCTTCGCATCGTCACTTCTAGCGGTGAGGGCGTTGAAGAAGCTCAGCCCGTTGGGCCATTTGATGTCGTTTTGGACATGGTGGTCCGGACCACCCATCATGTTTTCCATTTGGGGTTCGGAGGAGTGCGGGAGGAGGAACATGTGGGTTTCGTCTTTTGATGGGCCCGGTGGGTATCCGAGTTGGGCCGGGTTGTGGAAGTTGGGTGATGGCATCGTTCTAGGTGGGGCCCAATTGAAGAGGGGTGGCGGACGGGTCGGGATCGGAGGTTGCTTTAGCGGGATCGCAGAGGAAGAAGGTGACGGAATGTTGCCCCTAGTTGATGCAAATAGTTGGGAAAGATAAAAACCCGATTGATAGCCAAGCGACTCGAAGGTATGCCTCATTCTAAGCACAAAATGAAGGTCTTCGGGTATCTAAGCACATAGCAAAAGACGTAACTTAGTAACGTAAATCCATTTCATTATCCGCACGACCATAAATCACAACAAAAAACGTTATTTTTTTCAATATGATACTAAAAAAATGGTCGGGCCCATCGAGATAGCGAGATGAAAGATACAAATACAACAAACTCGCTTTATAAAACGTCAAATATGTTTAAATGTCCTAATAACCTACTTCATAAGACTTAAGCTTATACAATCAAATAATCGTGCATCATACGTAAATCTGTTACAATAAAACGTCAATATCACGTTTTTTGGCGTCCTCACAAGTTTTTACATGATATTTTTGAAATAAAGTGTAAAAAGTACCCTAAAAACTAACAACGTCCAAAAGCGTCATATCAATTTATTGCAACACATTTACATATGACGTACAATTATTTGTTCATACAAGGTTAAGTCTTATAAAACAGTCTGTTAGAACATTCAGATATATTTTGTATCAGATAAAGCCGATGTTTTACTGCACATATAAAAGGGAAGTAAATTGAACTTACAATCTTGCATGAACCAAGTTGTAAAAGGCCATGGCCAGCTTGAATGACAGCTATAGTCTGTTGAAGAAAAGGGTAAACCATGACAAATTAGGACCAACATACATTTATTGTTTTTACAGTTGTACTTGATTTTAACTGTAAAAAAATAATTACAGATATAAAAACAACTGCTCTACTATCTGGTATATAAGAAGAAGGATAGGTCTGTGTACATCTCACCGAAAATTTCTTTTGGAATTAAATGATGCGAGATGTCCAATCAATGTTTCTAGATGTACTTTCTCTTTAAGGTTTGTACACTCCTTTGTCTGGTTCCCCGTGGGATAGTGGGGTCTGTTTGTTAACAGCTTAACGAGATTCATAACTTGTTTGGTAGTGGCTTAATGATATAGAAATGACTTTTTCAGTAAGCTTCTAGTAAGAGTTTTATGCAGAAAGCCAAGTTTTTCCCATAACATGCTCTTACAATTTAAAAAACACGCTCTTTCATCTATGAGAAAACAGTTTCGCACAGAAACTTTCCTAATCTATACAAACAGATTAATGCACACAGACAACTATATCCATACAAGCCAAACAGCCACTCACTCGCTCGACCCCGCTTTCAAATATTTTATTGGGCTTTTATCAATCAATGATAATTGAGATAGTCAAAAAGAACAATAGTGATGACATCAACATCAAAAAGGTCTGTCACTAGTCTAGTCGGTACGACGTGTTCATCGGCCGAAAGGCGTAAAGTTTGCTAACACGACATTTTTGATAGATTCGTGGGAAATTGACCAAAATAGTCAGATCTCACCGACTCACTTCACTTTTTACCCATTTTTTCAATTAAATTCACATTCTCGCTAAGATTTTACGCAAATGTCTTGCGCATTTACATAAACTCAAATTTCAGATTAAAAAAAAGACGTTTTTGCGTAAGGATTTCTTTTTCTTTTTTTTTCCGGAAATCAGTCTTTACGCAGGTAAAACATCTGCGGAAAGACTGCTATTTTGGAAAGAGAGCTCTGAAAAGTGGCTAACGGATTTGGTAACGGGATTAACTATTTCAGTCGATTTCTCGTGATTCATGAACTCGTTAGGTTAAAAGTATCAGATATATCTATCTCACACGCCGTTTCCGTTTACAAAAGACGAAAAAGAAACATATGATCAAAAAGCTCACCTGAATCCCTGAATCAAACTGTTCAGTCCATTCTGGAGGAATCTGCAAAACCAATCATTCATAAAGACTCAAAACAATTATAAACCACAAAATATATAACATAAAAGCATTCATAATTTGATGACTGATTCATTAAGATGAAAGAAAGTGTGTTCTTGAGGATTCATACAGCATCAAAAGAACTTTGCCAATAATTAGATATATTCTGTTCAGATTCTGAAGGCTCTTTGAACACCCATTTATGACATTTATCTGAAGCAACTTTCCCCATCAATCTGCATCTCAATCCAAATCAAAACAGAATCAGATAAACCCTAAATCATTATCATTTGGGAAATTCACTCGGTTTCACTTTTTAGCCATTTTCTGACCCAAATTCACTTTTAGCCAGAAGCTTATGCTTAAAAATTGGTTCGGTCCCGCTTCATAGAACCAACGTTCGACTTGGTTTGTTCGAAAGCTCGGTAAAAAATTTCAAGTCGAAATGAGCTGAGCTAAGCCGAGCCATTTGAATGTATACTTTTTCAAGCCAAACATGCTCTTAAATAATACATTAAAAATATACAAATTATCAAACCTCAAGCCAATAACTAAGTAAACCGATCACGAGTATGAGCCCATAAACGACCACCGAGCTCGAACTCGATAACTCAAAAAAAAAATCAAGCTCGAGCTCGAATAACCTACTACTCGACTCGTTTACACCTCTTTCGCGCAAGTACCTGATCGGCTATTTCTGTCAATTTCCCTTATAATTATGAGTATATGATTATGATTATGATTTTTGCAGGGTTATGAATCAAATATTTAATTAAGCACCTACCAAGTACCCACCCTTCTCCATAATTATAAAGCTGAATCGACATTTTGCTGAATGATTTCTTAACTTGATCTTCACCTGATTCCATTTCATCAACTCTTCCTCTGCAAAACCCATCTTCCCACATCAACATCCTGCAAATTAAACCCTAATTTCCATGAATCATTCGTTTGATTTCGTGAGAAGAAACCACGGGGGAGAAAACTGGAAACAAGATGAACTCACAAGCTACCATTATCATCTCCAACTTTACAACCATTACCACCTCGAAGTCGCCTGAAAAAACAAACAAAGGGGAAACTGTAAATTAAAGGGTGCAGAAACTAGGGTTTCGATTTGAGATTGAAGAACAAATGAGAGATGAATACGGGCGAGGACGAATGGTCCAGAAGACGGAATACGTCCAATCGGAATTGATACAGAGGTTTCTGAGAGTTTCGTGAAGAGCCATCATTCCGATTGCTTCCTTGCCTCTATCCGTTGATCCTGAACCCGCCATAACTGGGTTTTCTTTGAAGAAATTAAATGGGTTTTTGTAAGCAGGTTTTGGTGTTCAATGGGTATGAAGAACACCTGGGTTCATCTCTGTGAATTTCTTCCTTTTTCTCTCTCTTAACTTTCAATTGACAAATTACTCCAAAAGTAACAAAAGCAGCAAAAAGAACAATGAAATTTACAAAAAGGTGACTGTTTTTGTTTTTTATTTTTTTAATAATGAAGTCAAGAGTGTTGTTATTCGAACCCGTCGAACTAAGTCAAACCGAACTGTTTTTAGCGGTCTCATCTGCTTTGAAAAATAGCCAAACTGCTCCGTCCGATTGTTTGAACGGTTTCTTTAACGGTCTAGACTGAACCGATTGATGTAAATACACATGTATTAATTATGTTTAGTTTTCGTGTGGTATGTTTAACGTTTATAAAACATTTGACAAAAACTCTTAAAAATCATTTATTATGCATGAAGTATTGTGTATTAATGCATATTACTTAAAAATTTAAGATTGCAAGTAAATTGTGCGTAAGTAAAACTTATTAAAGCTTCATGTTTGAATTCGTATAACTAACTGTAGAGTGTAGATAAACATAATCAAATACAGGATAAATATCTCATTTTGAATATAAAAAATCTAAAATATAATTAGGATAATCATTGAGTTCTAACAAAATCATTATATCTTTATAAAATTTTATTGTTAAGACAAAATAAATTACTTCACTAAATCGTAAAAACATTATCTTTCTCAAAACCACATAAGTCGTATTATATCAACAGAGAAAAAAAAATAAAAACGAAACATTAAAATAAAAATATATTTCGCTGCATTGTGCGAATACCCTTATAGTTTATCTAAAATTCCAATTATTGTTGGTGGGCTTTTTCAACTTTTTTTCAACTTGTTCAATGTTTTTTTTTAGTTTAAACATAAAAGGCCAAACCATCTAAACCGGTCAGACCATACCGTTTTTTATGGTTCAGTTTAACCGGTTTGGTCACTTGTTTGCAAATCGCTCGCCATTGCGGTTTGGTTTGTGGTTTGGAGGGTAAAACCGTCCAAACTGTATCGTGAATACCCCTACGTGTAATCATATATGATCTTGAAATTACTTATCTTCTCGTAAATTGATTAACTTCTCGCATGATCCTTCATCTGCTCGAGCATTTTCAACATTTATATTATAACAAATATCTTATACTATAATGTATGTTAAAACAGAGAGAAAAGAACAGGTTGTAGACATTTTCAAGTTTAAAGAAATCTTTAAATAACGATGAAAAAGACATATTATTTTAATTGCTTTTACCAAAGAGATTGAATGTATTGTAATATTCTACATGGTTTTTTTTAACCGTACTCGTGTTATAAATTTATAAAATATTTTAATAACATAATTAATATTATAGCTGTTAAAATGGAATAGTTATTAGAGTTGGATGTATTTTTTTAAAAGATCTTACATTTTAAATATTTTATTTTAAAAAAATTATAGCATAACTGTAAAAAATGTTTTTTAAAATATAAAAGGGGTTATTTAGAACTAGTCTTAGTATACACATGTTATACTGTATTAGAAGGGTACTCGCACAATGCAGTGAGATACATCTCGATTTTAATGTTTCGTTTTTTTTTAGGTCCGTGTTATAATACTGTTTTATGTGGTTTTGGAAAACGATGATGTTTTTATGTTTGAATAAAATATAAATATTAAGATATCTAAAAATTTAAAAAAAAATATTGACATTAGTACCAAACTAACTATTTAAAATTTCTTCTTTTTGTGTATTTCTTTAATTCATGTTTTTCATTTTAGTTTAATATTATATTTTTTTATAAAGATAATAATTAATTATTTTGTTAGAACTTAATAATTATTCTAATTATATTTTAGTTTTTTTATATTTAAAATGAAATGTTTATCCTTTATTTGATTATATTTATCTACAGTTAGTTATACGAATTCAAATATGAAGCTTTAATAAGTTGTACTTTCGTACAATTACTTGTAATCTTGAAATATAAATAATATGTATCAATAAATAGTATTTCATGCATAAAAAATAATTTTTGTTAAATGTTTTATAATATAATATAGATAATGTAAAACTTATTGTAAATCAAGAGTGAAAAATATTAATTTTTTTCCTATTAAATATCCTAGATTTATGTTCGAAAATTAATGATTGATTTCTGAAACACTGTCATTCAAAGAGAAAGTCAGTATTTGAAGTTTTAAAACTTCTGTCTAAATGCTTAAAAGACGTAACCATTTATGGTTATATGTCAGTATTAGAAACACGAACATTTAACAAGATAACAAGTTGACGGTTTTTATAAATATAATATCTCTATCTTTTAAGATAAAGCTATTTACGTATCTCTTATCTATTTTAGACCGTATTTCATGTAAGGGAACTAATCAACTAAGACCTCCTCATGTTTTATTTTGAGAAGTGGTAAATATTTGAGAAATAAAGAATTGATCTTAGCCCTTCATATGGTCAAGATCGGATTTGTCTAGTCGATAATTACGGCTTTGATTGGTTAAAAATTACGGTTATGCAAAAAATAGAGATGCTGGTTTCATAACTTTTACAAATAGGCGGCAAGGGGTTCATATGTGAACTCGTTAATTAGTTCTATGAGCAATTTTAATTGATTAACATATGAACCTACGTGATTCACATATGAACTAATTAACTGATTCACATATGAACATATAATTCATATCTGAGTCACATGAGTTCACATACAAACTCGTTTGTCACTTATTTGTAAAAGTTATGTAACTACCCCTCCATCTTCTGCATACCCATACGAGGAACCATTTGGTGTTTCACGGTCAAAGCCGCAAATGTTAACCAGATGAAAGTTCATGATCATTTCTTTACTTCTCAAATGAACCTTTCGACACACACACATGTGCACGCGGCACGCATGCATGCACATGCACATGCACGTGTGTTTTATAATGTAAATATTTTCTACGCGTTTGTGAAACAATACATTGTCAAACAAATAAATGTTATTCAATATGTTAAATTATAGTTTTAGTTGGAAAAAAATCATATAAAACAACATCTTAAAATGAAAATCTCCGCATTATCTGGATTTAAAACTAATTGAATTTGACTGCTTTGTTTTTGTTCGAAATAGGGTGTGTAGAATCCTATCAAACCCTAAAAATCCGAAACCTTGACCTATCAAACCTGAAAATACCTTAGACCCTGTATATAAATTTTCTCACCTGACCTGATCAGACCCGTGCTCACCCCCTGATTGGAAGGTTGTATATAAATTTAAAATAAACTAGAAGGATGTTCACGCAATGTAACGAGATACGTCTCGACTTTAATGTTTCATTTTAGTTTTTTTATCTCTATCAATGTTATAATACGATTTTATGTGGTTTTGAGAAAACAATAATGTTTTTATTCTTGAATAAAATATAAATTTGAAGATATCATAAAATTTAAAAATATATATCGATATTAGAATGAAATCTAACAATTTAAAAAATTTCGTTTTTCGTGTAATTTATTTAATTTGGTTTTTTATTATAATTTAATTTAAATTTAATATCAAAGTAATTTGTTTTTGGTTTAATAATATGATTTTTCTTATAGATAATAATTAATTATTTTGCTAAAATTCAATGATTATCATAATTATATATTAGATTTTTTATATTTAAAAATAAGATGTTTATATTATATTTAATTATATTTATCTGCAGTTAGCTACACGAATTCAAACATGGAGTTTTTGTATTTACTCATAATCTATTTGTAATCTTGAATTTTAAGTATTATGTATCAATAAGCCATACTTTATTCATAAAAAATAGTTTTTTGAGATTTTTATCAAATGTTTTATAATGTACATAGAATGGTGCTCGTGTAATACAGTGAAATATATCTTAATTTTAATATTTCGTTTTATTCTTTATCTCTGTCGATATAATACGATTTTTAGTGGTTTTGAGAAAACGATAATGTTTTTAATTATTAAATAAAATATAAATTTAAAAACATCATAAAAATTAGGAAAAAAACACATATCGTCATTAGTATTAAAATTACTATTTAAAGTTCTTGTTTTTTGTATAACTTATTTAATTCAATATTTTATTTATAATTCAATTTAAATTTAATAACGAAATAAATCATTTATCATTTAATAATGTATTTCTTTTATAAATGATCATCCTAATTATATTTTAAAGTTTTTATATTTAAAATGAGATATTTATTTCATATCTGATTATATTTATCTATAATTAATTACACGAATTCAAAAATGAAGTTTTAATAAGTTGTATTTACATACAATTTACTTATGATCTTGAATTCTAAGCAATATATATCAATAAACAGTATTTTATATATATAAATAATTTTTAAGAATTTTTATCAAATATTTTTTAATATGGTATAGATACAGATATTTATATATGTATCGGAGGCGAAGTTGTTAAAAAAATAGGATGAGGAGTGAGAGGAGAAAGGAATCTTGAGCGGTCAAAAGGAGGTGGGGATTTTTTTAGGATTAGATTTGGATTTAATATTTTTTAATAAATTTAAAAGGATTTATTATTAATTAAAATTAAAATAATATAAATGAAGATTAAGGAGTCACGTGGTCACGTGCCATGTCCAGTGAGTCGGTGCACCATTTTTCATAAACAACGTCTGCTGCACATTTTTCAAAATATTACTCTTTTTCTACATAATTCCCTAAATCTATTTCTTTTCAAATATCTTTTTTTTTATAACATTGTAAATCGAAAGATAAAGAGGAGTACGTTATAAATATCTCAGATATTTATGGAATATTCATTATGAATTGTGTATCATTTATACGGGATGTTAACAAATTATATCAGTTTTCTAAACTATTTATTAAAATTTATGTGTAAAATCTTATTCCAATTTGATTCTACGTGTAGCGTTAGTTTAACTGTTAATAAGATTTGGATATTTGGAAACTTTCCTCTGATTCCAATCAGTACCAAGTATTTCATGGTCATTAAGAGCATCTCCAACAGCTTCTTTAAAATAGAGAAACTCTATTTTTTTTTGTTTTCTATAATGCTCTAACAGC